ACTACAGGAAAAACCATAGCTTTGACTATGTGGACCTTTGTCGGCAAGGTGATGTCTCTGCTTTTTAAGATGCTGTCTAGGTTTGTCATCACTTTCCTCCCAAGAAGTAGGCGTCTCTTAATTTCGTGGCTGCTGTCACCATCTGCAGTGGATTGGGGAGTACATTCCCGATGTCAACTGAAGGCACCTGTCAGAAGAACGTTGTTTTCTATAAATGTTTCCACTCCTCTCTAGTTCCCCTTCCCTACCTCCCCATCTGTTCTGGCCATGCAGAGCAGAAAGGGGGAGAGACCATAGATGAGAATTGTCCTCTTGCCTGCTGCGCAAAAAGATGACTTTCCAATGGAGGAAAGAACAGGATCTCACATTTGGGTCCTGGGAACCTATGACTGGATGCATGAGCTGGGTCATCACGATCGGGTTGGCAAGCAGAAAAAAACAGGGACAGGTGAAATCTTGGTCCTTCAGATGTTTTGGAAGACAGAAGGGCAGCGCAGCATGTCCATTGTGATGGAATGTGGGAATTGGGGTCCAAATTTGCTGGCAAGCCAAACATTCAGCACCCTACAGGCCAAACGGTGGCCGCACATATGCATGTGGTATCACGGAACTGAGAAGTTCAAGGCAGCATGTCCATTGTGATGGAATGTGGGAATTGGGGTCCAAATTTGCTGGCAAGCCAAACATTCAGCACCCTACAGGCCAAACGGTGGCCGCACATATGCATGTGGTATTGCTTCACGGAACTGACTGTAGAGTCAATGCCATAATATGTGCCCTACAAATGCAGCCATCATGGGTGGCCAGCTGCTGCATGGCTTGCATACTGTTTTCCCTGACAGAAGTGCTTTCTCTAAAAGAGAAATGTAGGCTGCAAGGACTACTGGATAGCAGAGAGGGTGGTAAAACGGTTCCTAAATTCCGAGAACAAGAGACAGATAGGTTGGCGGTACATTCTCCGGCAGGCACAAAACTAACCTATCAAGGAAGTGGAAAGCAAGAATACTTTTTTAATCTACAGTAGGACAGCCCTGTGGCAGCGAAAACAGAAAGTTTTTTGGACCTCTGGAAGTTAATACATTTTCCTTTGGCCTACGTTTTTGTGGTTTGGCTCTGGTGAAGGAGACAGGAGCCTACAAACGCTTACGGCAAATAAAATGTGTTAAGATGCCATATTCTGTTGGTTTATCTTCCCTGACATTCAGGTCGAGAAGCTTTTTTAATTCTGAGGAGCTATTAGCTCTACAACCTCAATGTTACAGCCCCTGGAATGGTTTTACCGTTTCAACCACAACAGGGCTTGGGGGAAAAAACTAGGCCCTCAATCCTCCAGTTTGGTTGGACAGCAGCTCCCATTATCCCCAACCATGGGCCTCAGAGATGGAAGCCAAACCCCATCTGGGGGGGACCTTTCCTCTCCCTCCTTCTTCTACTGGAAAAAATTGAAAGGGAGTGATGAAAAGCACCATCCATCTTCCTTTTAAATACTGTATAAATATATCTAAAGACTAACAAAGGTAGTTAATAAGGCTAGTTAATAAATAGTTTCCTTTGGGAAAAAGGCAATCTCACAAATGCAGTTCCCAAAATGAACTGAGAAATCTCTGTGGATGTTTAATTTAGCAATCCCGCCTCGACCTATATTAATTTTCCGGTTGTTAATAGCTAATTGGCGTAACAACACAGGCATACAGCCTCATCATAAAACAGTCAATGGACTGTACTTTGCTGGATTGGGGCCATCAGGAAAATATTAAGGCTTTTCTTCAAATAATTCTTTCTGGCAGGTAGCAAGATCTGGTGCCCTGCAGAGGCTTTCCTAGCGATATCTTGCTTTTCTCTTAGCCCAGTGCTTCTTAACCTAGGGCTCTCAGACTACAACTCCCAGAAATCCTGGCCAGCACAGCTAGTGGTGAAGGTTTCTGGGTACTGTATTTTAGTCCAAGAACATCCGGGGACCCAAGGTTGGGAACCATTGTCAGTAGTCCAGTGACTTCGCTCCATTATGAACTCTTTGAAGATTTTGGCAACCCTTTCCACACTCTTACCAAGAAGAGGGTTTCTACGTATAAAAAGCAGATGACAAGTTAGAACTGGTCCTTGACTTGATCTCTTCAGGCTGCAGGGAAAGGAAACCATCCCTGAACACGCATGTGAGAGAAAAGCTAGCCTAGAATTTTCTTCTTGACAAGCTACTTTTCTATGTGCAAGGACTGTTTTACATGGGAGGGTCTTCGGCTGTACAGCCACCCCCTTGCAGTCTTGACTACTGTTAAGTCTAGCATCCATTTTACCGCCTCATCTGGATAAACTACAGCCAAAATTTCACCTATTGTCTGACTTCCAGCTGAACTTTTCCCATCACACGCCACTGTGCTGAACGCTTGGAAGGTTTGTTTCCTGACTGAATTTTCCCGCCTGGACTGTGCCAGGAGCCACAACACAAGCCTCCTCGGGAGGTGGTGCGCCAATACGACTTCCCTCCTGCCTAGATTCACGTGGGTTTATGAGAACGAGATCCTGAACAGAAGCATCTTCCTCGGACTGAGAATCTGGTCTCGATCCGGCGTGAGTCCTCTCATGCCTCACCAAGTGTGACCGCCGGTTGAAGCTCTTCCCACAGTCGAGGCAACAGTAGGGTTTTTCTCCTGTGTGGATCCTTTTGTGCCGAATGAAGTGCGACCTCCAACTGAAGTTCTTTCCACACTCGGAACATTTAAAGACCTTCTCCTCTTCCTGAGGGCTCACATCCGTTGTGAAGAGTGAGGTATCGATACCATTTTTATCCCTCCCTAGGCATTTATAGGGTTGACTTGCTGTGCAGATTCTCTCGTGGGTGTTTATTCTGTTTATAAATAACGAGCTATGACTGTAGGATGTTCCATCTTCTGAACATTTGTACGGCTGGTCCTCTGCCCGCCCTCGTTCTTGTGCATTCACCCCTGTAAGGATCAGCGAGCAGTGCCTGTAGCTTGTCTCGTTGTTTGGCCATTCATAGAGCTGGCCTCCTATATGATTTTGCCCATGTGGATTCATGCTGGCAATGAGCAGGGAACTGTGGGCAAAGTTTTTCCCACCATCTAGACATCTGTAGGGCTGGCCCTCCAAAAAGACCCTCTCAGGAGGACGTAGACCGGCGATCAGGAGGGAGCTGTTGTCGTAGCTTGCCCCGCCACCCGGCCATTCGTACGGCTGGCCTCCCAGATGGGTGGCTTCGTGTGTACTGAGGTGCGACCTACGATTGAAGCATTTCCCACAGATGGCACATTTGTACGGCTTCTCCCCCGTGTGGATTCTCTCGTGCCGGAGGAGTTCGGAGGTCTGGCTGAAGCACTTCCCGCAGTCCGAGCAGGAGAAAGGTTTCTCCCCTGTGTGGACCCTCTCGTGCCTCACCAGCTTGGACAACTGGTTGAAGCACTTACCGCAACTGAGGCACAAGAAGGACTGTGCTCCCTTGTGAGCTATCTCATGCCTAATAAGGTTCGATCTCGTGCTGAAAGTTCTCCCGCACTCTGTACATTCATGAACTTCCTTTTCCATATGGGTCCTCTGGTGTCGGTTCAATTTGGACTTTTCGATGAAGCTTTTCCCACACTTTGAGCATCGGTAGGGCCTCTCGCCTGTGTGGGTTCTCTCGTGCGTGATCAGGTGCGACTTCCAATTGAAACTTTCCCCACACACGGGGCAGATGAACGGGGTCTCTCCCGTGTGGAGCCTTCTGTGGGCCAGAAGGGATGAACTCTGGGTGAAGCTTTTCCCACAATCCGTACAAGAATATGGTTTCTCTCCCGTATGGATATTTTCGTGCCTAATCAAGGTGGAAGCGTGGCTGAAGCTTTTCCCACAGTCTGAGCATTTATAAGGCCTCTCTCCTGTGTGGGTAATCCCATGTCGCACGAGGTCAGATTTAAAGCTGAAGCTTTTCCCACAGTCGATGCACTGATAGGGTTTCTCTCCCGAATGGGTCCTCTGGTGTCTATTACGGTTTGACCTTTCAGTGAAGCTTTTCCCACAGTGCACACATTTATAGGGCTTCTCGCCTGTGTGGATTCTTTTATGCGCCAGAAGGTTTGAAGCCTGAGCAAAGATCTTCCCACACTCATTGCAGGACCTTGGGCCCTTAGACCTGCGATTACGCTTTCGAATGGGGCCCTTGCCGATAACCTGAAGACCCCCAGCACAAGGAATGGTGTTACTGGGTCTGTTTTCTAGGTGGGCCTCCAGCTGCTTCTCCTGCCTGTGATGTTTCACAACGCTTTCCCCTTTCTCAAAACACAAGGGGTCATCTTTTCCTGCTAACCCCAGTGATGTCCTGGTTTGCAGCTTTTGCTCAGATCGTTGTGTCTGGAGTCCTTCTTTGTTCTCATTTGCCTGTCCGTCACCTGTCAGAAGAAAACCAAACATGAAAGAAAGAGACAATTGAACATGTGGAACTTGGGGGGGGGGTGAGGGAGGGAAACCCTACAAAAATATTGTTTCTCTGTTCTCTCGACCTATTTCTGCAAAATCGTCATGCTATAGTCTAGATGTGGTTTTATTAGGTTTGTATTAATAAAATAATGTTATTATAATAAAATAATTGTGTGCCACCAAGTAAATTCTGACTTATGGTGATCCTTTCCAAGTTTTTCTAGGTAGGGAATACTCAGAAGTGGTTCACCAAACCCTTCCTCTAGGGGGAGCCCTGGGACTGGGCAGCTTGCCCAAGGCCACCCAGGCTGGCTCTCCTCACAGGAGACATAGCGGGGATTTGAACTCCCAACCTCTGGCTCTACAGCCAGAGACCTAAATCACAGAATTATCCAACCAGCTTAAAGGGCAGTATAAAAATAGTTTATATTCAAGGCATTCTTTAAAGGGCAATGTAAAAATTCTAACACTGGAATCCTGTTCTGAAAAACCATGCACACAATGGCAATTGTTGCAAGCAGTGTTCCCCCCTTTGCTAGGGTGTCTCTTGTGTGACTGAATGTGTGTGGCTGAATTCACAACCAGGGTGTGACTTGCTACACAAGGAGCACCTTGGGCAAAAAGTGAAACTGCTTCCCTGATTACTACAGCACTTGTATTTTATTTTTGTCAAGTGAGATTGTCGCCTAGGTAAACAGACAAGAGTGTGACAAATTCCTTTTTTTTTTTACAACATCCTCCAGAGTCCCCAAAGAGAGGATGATCATACTAGCTAGGACTTTCAGGGAGTGGTTATCCAAAGATAGTAAGGGTGTAGTGTGGCTTCCTAAGGGGATTCAGACTGCTTTTTACCAAGTGTGTTTCATGTCCTACGTTTTAAACAAAAGGTATAAAAGCATTGCTAAGACAGTGTCGTGAACTACATATCCAACATGCCGAAGCTTTGTTGACGACTGCAGAAGTACAGGGGAAATCTTGCTATCTTCAGAGAGCCCCAGTCATCTTAATATGACATTTGATAGCCATGCACTTTTGCATACAGAAAATGAAGTGTATTTTGCAGCATGAGATACAAACAAATGGGATCAGCCACAAAACATAATACTTGGGGGCGGGGTTGGGGGTTGGGATAGACTCCTATTTTAGATAAAACAAAAAAGCAAGCCGTGTACTGCTTATATATCACCCCATAGCACTTAAAACACTCTCTGGCCAGTTTACAATTTAATTATGCAGGGTACACATTGTCCTCTCCCCTAGGTACTCATTTTACCAGCCTTAGAAGGACAGAAGGTTGCGTGAACCTTGAGCTGGCTACCTGAGCCTCTCAGGATTGAACTCATGTCATGAACAGAGTCTTGACTGCAGTAATGCGGTTTAACCGCTGCGCCATGAGGCTCCACTAGTGTATTCGATCTCTCAGTGTTCAATTGCCGGCCCAGATGTGTCTAGATTTATTGTATCTCCTTAATCACCCTCCCCAGATTTTTTTAATACATCTACAAACAGTGGGATTCTGTCAAAATGGCTAGCCCACCTCTTTTTGTGCAGGGGGTGGTGCTATACGGATGGGCCATCACAGCCCAAAACCTGGAAATAGGAGAAATTAGACACATATTGGCAAAACTGGATGGAGTCCTGTTCTAAATCTCCAAACATCTACTCCAAATGGCTAAGGTGTCTCTAATCAGGAAAACCACTTTCCTACCGTACCCTCCATGATGCTCTTGTACAAGGTTCTCGGATCCGGTTCCAACAGAGGCCCTTGACCATCCGGGAGATACATGGCCATGTCTTTGAAATTCACTGGCATCTGGAAGACAAAGTTACCACCTAGTAAGTCTGTGTGCTGCCTGTCAAATCCATTCTCATAAGGTTAAAACATAGCCCAATCTGTGCCTATTTGATACACAAATCTTGGATAAACGTTTCAGGATGAAATCAAGAAAATCCTTAATCACACAATACCACTGGATCCCATTTTAGCTCTGCTAAAGATTATTGCTGGGAATGATGCCAGTTTTCTGCAGGAAGATCTTACTGACTTCTTTCTGCCTGTAGGTTCACAAGGGATGGGTAAGAGACAGAAGGATTTTGACTAGACAGTTGATATAAAGGAGCATGAGATTTCTGGCACGGTTAGAAAAATTGACCCAACAATTTAGACAAGCAAGAAACGAATCGGATGCAGGCAACAGATCCCTATTGATTACTTAAAATCCAGTGAAACAAATCTTAGCACTTATGATTGCTCAAAAAGCCAGTGCTCTTCTCTTTCACAATTAAACACTCATTCACTCACACCCTGAACCTGGGGGAAAAAGCATTACAAATAACAGTGTTATCGATAATGTACTTCTTCATTGGGGATTCCAACTTCATTGCATTTAACAACAACAACAAAGTCAGTAGTAATGTTATTGTGTTGGCTGGATCGCTCAGTGGTTTAGGCAGGAGCCAGAGGTTGGGAGTGCCTCCTGGGAGAAAAGCCAGCCTGGGTGGCCTTGGGCAAGCTGCACTATCCCAGAACACCCACCAAAAGCAGGGAATAATAAATCACTTCTGAGTACTCTCTACCTAGAATACACTGGAAAGGTTCCCATGATTCAGAATTGACTTGACCGCACACAATGGTTATTATCTATGCCTAGTGTAATGAGAAAGCTTTCACCATTACTCCTTAAATGCTGTGTTGTGTAAATGACTCAGTTTGGGGACCACTTCTGAATATTTTGATTACAGTATTTAAAAACAAATTAATCAAAACATAACTGGAATCTTGCTCATGAATTTCTCATTAACTTAATAATGAACAACGGCACAATTTAGTGTTTGACTAATTAGCAACAAGTAGCTACCTCTGCTAAAAAGCAGAGACATCACCTTGCTGACAAAGGTCCGCATAGTCAAAGCTATGGTTTTCACTGTAGTGATGTATGGAAGTGAGAGCTGGACCATAAAAGAAGGCTGGCCGCCGAAGAATTGATGCTTTTGAAGTGTGGTGCTGGAGGAAACTCTTGAAAGTCCCCTGGACTGCAAGGAGAACAAACCTATCCATTTTGAAAGAAATCAACCCTGAGTGCTCACTGGAAGGACAGATCCTGAAGCTGAGGCTCCAGTACTTTGGCCATCTGATGAGAAGAGAAGACTCATTGAAAAAAAAACCCCTGATGTGTGAAGGCAAGAGGAGAAGGGGATGACAGAGGGCGAGATGGTTGGACAGTGTCACCAAAGTTACCAGCATGAATCTGACCAAACTCCAGGAGGCAGTGGAAGACAGGAGGGCCTGGCGTGCTCTGGTCCATGGGGTCACAAAGAGTCAGACACGACTTAATGACTAAACAACAACAACAACAACAAAGCTACCACAAAGAACTCTCTTAAAAGGATCTGAGCAGTGCTTAAGAAGTTACTTAAGAAGTTGCTTTTTCAAAAGCGACATTTCAAACTCTGTTCCCACACGCAAGCAGCTGCTCTTTCTGTGGATCACCCCCCCCGGCACTTTTTCAATATTCTATCAGTAGAATTTCCAAAATCTTGCAAGTAGACCCACCACCCCAACATCCTTCCCTCCACACTTCTGGCCTGTTTCTCCCCAACCCACAAAGACACAGCCGAGGTAGCACAGTTTACCAAACCCTTTGCCCGCGTTGCTTGCACATGGTCTCGTTGGGAACCTTGCCCAGGGCTGGAAAGACATAAAGAAAGCTCTCTCTTTCTCTCGCTCGGGCACAACATACTCTTTGAAGCTTTCCCATATTTCTGGGCGCCCTATCAAAGCCTTGCTTCAAGGCAACCCATCCGAAGCAACCACCCCCTACTTTTCTTTTCTACTTATTACTTCCTACCCCAAAGTGGGAATGAGTAATGCAAGTATATTGATCATCCAACCTTTCGTTAAATCCTGATGGCACCTCCTCCATGCTGGAAATGAGCTGCCCTTTGGATGCAACACAAAATAATAAGTCTGGGGATTGAGGCCTCCTCTCTCTCTCTCTCTCTCTCTCTCTCTCTCTTTTTGTCTCCCCCAGATGCCTCTCGCTTGCCCATGCTTTGCTGAGCAGAAAGGAAATCGGGAGGACAAACTCCGCCCCTCTGTATTCCCCGAGCAACGCTAGAGACCATCTGGCCAGCCACCGCCAAGGGACATAATCCAGAACAGACCTCCGGGCCTCTCTTGTTTTCTTCCCAAAGAATCAAGGTCACCCCCCACAAACACACCCAACAGAGGCATACAGCTAAACGCAGAGGATTTCGTTTATCCCAGCCTCACTAACAAATACATTGTAATGGTTCAATTATCAGATTTATGAAGCTAGAACTATAGTTCGTAATTGTCTCTGGAAAATGTTGTTCACAGTCTTAGAATCATAGAATAGTAAAGCTGTGTTGGACCCCAGAGTAATTGAGTCCAACACTTTTTAAGCAGGAAATCCATAGCTAAAGTCTCTCTGTTGGATGGCTATCATAACTTTATTTAAAAAGCTCTAAGGCAGTCCAGTCCACCATCAAATGGCTCTTTCTTTCCTAATGTTTATTTTTATGAAACATACTTCAGAGGTCCCCATCATCACTGGGGCTTTGGGAACAATATCAGGAAACGTCACCAAGTACTATAAGCAGTTGCAGATCTCAGAAATAACACCATCAGAGTTACAAAACATGGCAACATTAGGAACAGCATACACACTGCGCTGATATTTAACAGATACTTAGTTTTTTGGTTAAAGCTTGTATCTGTTATATAATACCAGTCAATGTTTTTATAATTTTGATTGACCGTGCCTGGTATTTTTGAATAATAATAATAATAATAATAGTCATATGCCATCAAGTCAATTCTGACTTACGGCGACCCTTTCCAGGGTTTTTAGGTAGAGAATACTACAAAGTGGTTTATCTTTCACTTCTTCGGGGGACACCCTGGGCCAGTACAGCTTGCCCAAGGCCCCCCAGGCTGGCTCCTCTCCCAGTTGGCACAGTGGCAAATCAGATGTTAAACCACTGAGCAATCCAGCCGGCGAAAGTCACAATTAAAACACACAAAAGATCTAGCTGACACTACCAATTAGTTTGCCCCACTTAGACTTTAAAAAGTGGGGTGTGTTTTTTCCACTACAGCTCCCAGTATCCCCTAGCTAAAAAATATAAATTTTCAAAGCTGTATTCCCCCCCCTTATCAGAAAATTGGTTTACATACCAAAGACCTGCCTGAATTAATCTTTGCTGGACAAAAGACAGAAATATAGGTACACAAACAGAGGGAGGAAGAGCCCACCATAATGTGACCCACATAGCGTGAGCCTGCCTCAGATCCTGACCAAGAAATGTGGACAAAATCTTACAACACTGGGGCTCCAACCGAAACTCAGCATATCCTTATACTTTTTTAGCTAAGGGAGAAATCCCCAAACCACATCTTCCCCCTCGTGGCAGTAAAAACAGAATACCAAATAATTAATACAGTGGACCCTTGACTTACAGACGGCTTAACTTACAGACTTTTTGAGTTACAGACTTCTCTGGCCGCAAAATTTAGGTTTGACTTGCAGACTGAGATTTGACTTACAGACCAGAAAAAAACCAAAATGGAACAAAAACGGCCTGTTACGGGATTAATCGGTTTTCAATGCACTGTAGGTCAATGGAGACTTGACTTACAGACTTTTGACTTGAGAACTGCCTTCCAATACGGATTAAGTTCTCAAGTCAAGACCCTACTGTAGGTTGCTGTCCATGCATTACAATTTACCGTAAGTCTTCTGCCAGAGGTGGCCACCTCCTGTCCCTCTGTGAGTCTAAAACAAAATGCAGGCATACAATCGGTAAACCGAAACATAGTGCAAGGTTAGGGAATACCTCTATCGGATCACTAATGATGCAAATGTGAGTAGATAAATAGGTACCACCTCGGTGGGAAGGTAACAGCGTTCCGTGTCTAGTTGTGCTGGCCACATGACCACGCAAACTGTCTACGGATAAAGGCTGGCTCTACGGCTTGGAGACGGGGATAAGCATTGTGCTCTAGAGTTGGACACAACTGGACTAAATGTCAAGGGGAACCAATGATGTCACATATATGGTGAGCTATCAAGTTCTCCACAGCTTTTTTGCAGATTAAGCCAGTATCCTTGAACCCTAACTCTTTTGGGGTCTTTTATTTGTTATTGGACATACCACAATCAACCATTTGTAAAGAGAGGTTTTTAAAAAGGGATGGTTTGTATTTTTGTGGCTTTTAAATCTCTTTTAGTACTGCTTTAACCGAACATTTTAATATAATGTTTATTTCATTCTTTTAAAATATTTGAATAATTTGCTGTTTTTATCTTTTATGTAGTGTTTTTAATGAAGTAAGTCGCCTTGGGTCCTTTTTTTATGAAAAAGGTGAGGCAAATCATGACGGAAATGTTTTCCACAAGATTACACTGCAGTGAAGTTCTACCTCCAACCACTAGGAACAACTACTACCCTGTTTTCCCCAAAATAAGACCTAACCTGAAAATAAGCCCTAGTATGATTTTTCAGGATGCTCATAATATAAGCCCTCCTCCAAAAATAAGCCCAAATTAAGTGAAACCCTGCCCTCCACCCTTGTGCAGCAACCAGAAGAAGATAACATGACTGTATTTGAATAAATGTAGACTGTTGTACATGAAAATAAAATAAAACGTCCCCTGGAAATAAGCCCTAATGCATTTTTGGAGCAAAAATTAATACAAGACCCTATCTTATTTTCGAAGAAACATGGTAATTTGGTTGCAACAGACTTTCCTAGTTATAAGTTCTTAGCACAACATCTAAATTGAATTTCCAGTTTAGCGGTCATAAAGGCTATTACAGTCGTACCCCGCTTTATGATTACCCTGCATTATGACGAATCCGCTTCACAATGACGTTTTTGCGATCGCTTTTGCGATCACAAAACGAAGGTCTAAATAGGGTTTTTTTCGGTTTGCGATGATTGGTTCCCTGCTTTGGGAACTGATTCTTTGCAAAACGATGTTTTTTAACAACTGATCGGCAGTTTCAAAATGGCCACCAGGTAATTAAAATGGCTCCCCGCTGTGTTTAGGGACGGATTCCTTGCTATACAAGCAGCGAAAGTGGCCGCCGTATGGAGGATCTTCGCTGGACTGTGAGTTTGTAGCCCACAGGAACGCATTGAACGGTTTTCAATGTGTTTCAATGGGCTTTTTATTTTCACTTTACGACATTTTCGCTTAACAGCGATTTTCCTGGAACGGATTATCGCCGTTAAGCGAGGCACCACTGTATTAAGTTGCTTCCCTACGTCTGCTTTACATCAATTCCAAGAGCCTCTGTGCTTTACAAAAAGGCAACGGGCAGGTCTAGAGAAATTCCAGTCACACTTTCAACCAAAGCAAAGAGAAAAAAAAACAAGAAACCAACACCTTTTTCCTTCTCAAAGGATCTATCCATGCAGGCTACTTTAAATGGCACAGCTCTGCACAGTGGAATCCTGGGATTTATAGTCTGGCAAAGTACTTGTCTTACACACACCCCTCTCTCACATACACACAGAGGGAATCACACCTTTCTGCCAGTGAGAGGGTAAGATATTTCCTGATGCCATCAATGTCCATTCTCACTCTGCCAAAATGGATTTCTAAAAGTTAAAAACACCAGATGGGTTGTTTTCTCCTTCTCTGAAGACGGGTCAATCCTTCTGCACTTGCTGTATGTGTTACACATTCCTTCTCAATGAGTTTTGGCCAGAGTGTGGTTGACAGATTTTGTGCAACATGCAAGATCCTTAAGAGGAGAAAGGGAAGCACGCCTCGTTTGGCATTTTCATGGGGGGGGGGGGCAAAGAACCCTGCTAAGAGCCTAGGTTAATTTCTTACCAAGATGTCTCGTACCAGGGATGCAGCCCCTAAATCAACGAGAACAGGGAATTTAGCATTTATTTTCATATCCTTAGGATAACCTACTAACTATTTTGTGGTTGGCCACAGATGAGGTACTTAATTTAAAGTACTTAAATTCTTCATGTGAATTTACCTCGACACCTCTGTTTGCAACCCCACCCTGTGTGCATGTGTTTTTCCAGGATATACCAGGCTACCCATTCCAGAGTTGAGTCAAATTCATGTTGGTAGCTTCAACGACACGTATACTGGACTGTTAATAACATATACTGTATATGGTTCAGGGCACTCTGAATAACATCTCACAATGTGCTCAAACTATGTATTTTTTTTTTACTTCCAGAGAAAATTCAGGCTTGATTTTATCTTGCATCCACTTTGTGGTCTTTGTGGTAGGTCCAGATTATCCATAAAGCTCTCCTTCAATACAGTACTGACTTTCAAATACAGTACATCATTTCTTTTTCCTCTTAGCTTTCTTCACTGCTCAGCTTTCACATCAACACAAATCAAGACGACCACTGTAGGAGATACTGTAAAATGCTGTGCTACAAAAGCTTATGGCAGAACAAATCTGTAATACTTGGAAGTACCACAAGACTCTTTGTTCTTTTAGCAACGTGCACATCTCTCATGATTTTAACACTGTGCCATCTTATGCCCTTAGTGGGGTTCAGTGGACTGTGCCAGTCTTCCAGCTGGAAAAATAAAGGTGAATGAGAAAGCAACCTTACAAATTTGGGGGATGTACCGAGCAAAGGAAAGGAGTACCTGGATAGGGGCCGAACTGGGGTCTGGAAATCCAGTTCCTTTTCAACCAAAGTGAGTGAATTTCAGCCCAAGGTCACACCTCCCCGAGAGACCACTTTTGTGCATGTGCCAAAGATGCTGCAAAAGAGCAGGACAGTCTCAAGAGGTAAGGTGAAAATTGCACCCCGGGGTTGGAAAAAATGGGTAAGGCTTTGGTTCCTTGGGCACAAATCCAGCTGGCAGCAACAAGGGGGGGAGAAAGAAAAACAAAGAAAGGGAGAGAAGAAAGATGGGGAGGGGAGGAAGCAAAGGCTTGGGCAGAATTAGGAGAATGCTCATCATCCGATGCTGATTTCCCCGCCCCCAACTTGGAGAAAGCTAACAGTTGTCCCCAGATCTAACTGCTAAACAAAGGTTGATTTCCCCCCCCCCAATTAAAAAAAACAAGGGTCTTTCCACCCTTGCTCCCAGTCCTGCTGGGAAGGAGGTATGAAGGTTGCATAACAAGTCCTGGGGCTCAGAAAAGAGAGAGAGAGAGAATCCTGACCCACCCACCCCTTTATGGGATGCCCCCTTGAGTCTCTCAACCAGCGTATACAAATGAGCATTTGTGATGTTTGTTGCTCTTCATATACTTCTGGAGCAAGTCCGTACTGTACCTTGGTTGCAGATCCGCAGCAGCCTTCGGCACGAGGGGGATTCCCTTTGGAGAAGTGGCAGCGATCACAGCGGGCCGGATCGGGTGCATAAACAGCAATGGGGACAAAAAAAGGGGGAGCAGCGGGTTGGGGGGGATTGAGATGAAAAACACCCGGACTCTTATTATGATACGGCGACGCTCTCGGCAGGAGCATGCGCCCTCCCGGTGACCGACGTTCTGCCGATGCCCTTAGTTTGCCCACACTTGGCCTTTTTTTTTCAAAACATCGATTTCACTCTCGCACGTGCAGGCAGGTCGCCGCAGCCTACCAAGTGTCTATATATACACAACACGTCTCTCATCCCGACAGTTCCTTCAGTGAGAGAGGAAAAACTGCTGACTTACCACCAAGTCATCCCAGAACCTATAAAACTTGTCATCCTGGGCGGAGAGTCCACAAAAACCTCACCAAACTGTTAACAGATGGGTTAGCCTTTAAGGCAACACAGGACTCTTCGCTGTTTTTTTTCCACGGACAGCAGATTGGCAATGCAATCCTGAGTCTCGCTCTGTTCAGTGGGGAATGGACGGTGCCCGCCTCTTTTTCTTTCGGACAGCTGTTTTGGGGACGGTTATGTAGCTTAACAGGTCTATGATAACCTAAACCCAGTCAGTGGTTTAGGTCTCTGGCTTGTTGGCAGAGTCCAAAATTCAAATCTTGAGTTTTTTGGTACCAAGTCCTGAGACCCTATTAAAAACAATATTTTCCCCCTCAGCAAAAAGGGAGAGATGGGCGAGTTGCAAATCAAGGCCTAGTCATTGGAAAGTTGAGTCCAAATCAAGGCCTAGTCATTGGAAAGTTGAGTCCAATTCGAGTCACCTGTGCCGCTTAAGTGTGACTTGACAACATGTTCCCACAACTAGAGTCCCCATCCCTAGGGAGCCAGAGGCTGGGAGTTCGATTCCTCTCCAGTGAGCGCAGCCAATTTGTGTGGCCTTAAGCAAGCGCCACTGTCCCAGGGCTACTCCAGAAGTAGGGAATGAGTATTCTCTGCCAGGAAAACCCCGGAAAGGGTCACCATCAGTCAGAATTTACTTGACAGCACGTGATGATGATGATACTATTAAAAGTATTTTAGTAAATAAAATTCAATTTTATTAGAAGTATAGGAGGTAGAGTGAAAGAACAGGGCATGTTATAAAATATAACAAAAAATGTTGTGTATGTTGGAAGCCATCTTCTAGAGTGGTCGCTCGACTAGATAGGCGGGGGATAAAATCAATCAATCAATCAATCAATCAATCAATCAATCAATCAATCAATCAATCAATCAATCAATCAATCAATCAATCAATCAGTGTTTAGCCTTGAGTAAAGAAGAATGAGGGGAGATAGAATAGTACTTTTCAAATACTTGAAAGTCTGTCATACAGAGGAGGGGCAAGATCTGTTCTCGATCATCCCAGAGTGCAGGACACGCAACAATGGGCTCAAGCTTCAGCCAGATTTAGGCTGAATATCAGGAGATATTTCTAATTGTTAGTGTTATAGTGATATTCTTATTAGCTAAAATATCGGGAGATACCTCCTAATTGTTAGTGCAGTACGACAATGGAACCCCTTACATTGGGAGGTGTTGATCACTCCAATGCTGGAGACATTCAAGAGAAAATTGGACAACTATCTGTTTTGGTCTGCTTTGATCGGGATTCCTGCCTTGAGCATGGGGTTGGAGCCGATGGTTTTATAGGTCCCTTTCAACTGAATTATTCTATGATATTCTATAACATTAATAGATTTTGTGTCTGTAGTGTAATGTAACAGTTAGGTCTTGGCTTGGGGCTTGAGAGCGCCAGGTCTTAATTGCCACTGAGCCATAACACCTACAGGGAGACCTTGGGATAAGTCACACAGTCTTAGCTTGATCTACCTCACAAGACTCTTGTGAGGATTAAGTGGGAGTAAAAGAGACATGTATGCTATCTTGTGCTCAGGAATGGCCAAAGAATAAATATTGTGAATAAACAGACAAGCAGGATGTTTCTGTTAATTGTATTTCATTTAATGTTATTAAAGATATTGTGTCATCGCATCAAGGATTTCACCTTTCATCATAGGCAACGTCCAGATGGTTAAATGTTCTCTGACAATGTATAATCAATTTATGGAATTTTCCCCTGGCCAAAATATGGGAATAAACAATTTTGCTGGAGGCCAAGTCCATCCACAATAAGTAAGTGGAATAACCTTAGTCTGGGCACCAAGTCTCCGTCTATCCTATCCTGCAGGGTTGTTTGAAGGATAACAAAATAGTACAGTATTTAAGTTGCCTCAACTCCTTGAAAAGAAAAATAAGAAAACTAAAATTAATTACCAAAATAAAAAAAAATCTGAATTCTCCATCTAGAAATCAGTGTTTCTTCTCCTTAGGCTTTTTGCCTAAAAACATGATATCTGTATCATCCTTCCAGTGGTTTTGCCAAGTAAACAGGGTGATTTTAAGCTACCAAAACTGGACTCTACAGAACGCCTTGTGGGTTGATTGCAGGAGGATTTTTTGAAGTGGTGCAGTGCATTAGCCCTATCCTGGGTGGTTAAAAAAACAGGTGAGGCTTTCTCTCTTTTTCTTTTGCTTCTTCCCTCTGCTCGGTGGAAAAAAAAATCTCTGTTCTTGCCCCTTCCTGTCTGATCAAGAACATGTGGACCATGGACTTGGTGTGAGATAAATACAGAATGCACTTTAGAAGTGAACAAAGATGTATAAATCTACAATATACTTTCAAAGCAGTCTCTTCCCACTTCCAGAAGGAAGATTTCAAATTGTGTTTGTTTTTTGCGTGCATTAGCAGTGTCTGAATGGGCTTACAAATACAGTAATGATTTTGCCTTTCTCTTCCCACGTCCTGGAAGAAAGGAAATAAGTTTTTCATTTCCCTATTTAATGAGGCAACATCCAGATGGTTAAATGTTCTCTGACAATGTATAATCAATTTATGGAATTTTTCCCCTGGCTAAAATATGTGAATAAACAATTTTGCTGGAGGCTAGGTCCATCCACAATAAGTACAGTAATGCGAAGCTGCTATTCCACCTTCTGCCACTAGAAGGGGATATTTTTTCTTTTTTCCTTTTAACCTAAGATGACTTAGCTTTAAAAAAAAAGGGAAAAAAGAGTTCGTAACTCGAATCTAAGTTCGTAAGTCGAGTCCATATATTCCTATGAGAGCTGTTCGTAAGTCGAAACGTTCGTATGTCGAGCCGTTTGTAAGTCGAGACCCCACTGTAAGTGGAATAACCTTAGTCTGGGCACCAAGTCTCCACCTATCCTACCCCACAGGATTGTTTGAAGGATAACAGAATAGTATGGTATTTAAGTTGCCTCAGCTCCTTGAAAAGAAAAATAAGAAAACAAACATTAATTACCAAAATAAAAAAAAAATCTGAATGTTCCTTCTAGAAATCAATGTTTCTTTTCCTTAGGCTTTTGGTGTAAAAACAGACTTTTTGTATCCTTCCATTGGTTTTGCCAAGTAAACATGGTGAAATTAACTTTACTTACTTTTACTTTTATTAGATTTTTACCCCGCCCCCTTAGACAAAGTCTACTCAGGGCAGCTTACATACATGATAAAAACATCACAATAACAAATATCATAAAACATTTAAGCTACCAAAACTGGACTCTACAGAACGCCTTGTGGGTTGATTGCAGGAGGATTTTTTGAAGTGGTGCAGTGCATTAGCCCTATCTTGGGTGGTCAAAAGAACAAGTGAGGCTTTCTCTTTTTTTCTTTTGCTTCTTCCCTCTGCTCGATGGGGAAAAAAACCTGCCCCTTCCTGTCTGATCTAGAACATGTGGACCATGGACTTGATGTGAGAAAAATATAGAATTCACTTTAGAAGATAACAAAGATGTATAGATCTACAATATACTTTCAAAGCAGTCTCTTCCCACTTCCAGGAAGAAGATTTCGAATTGTGTTTGTTCTTTAAATGCATTAGCAGTGTCTGAACTGGCTTACAAATAATTATTTTGCCTTTCTCTTCCCACATCCTGGAACAGAGGAAACAAGTTTTTCATTTCCCTATTTAATGTCCCAATTTCCCCATATCATTAAGTGGTTAAGATGTCTGTTTAATCTACTAAGGACACTCTGAAGATAGTCTAGTTCCCATGAGCTAGTTCACATTGTCTGATCACCAGAAAAAAAGGAGTGAAGCAAACAGCAGAAGGAATGCCCACCTGATTGCACCCTAAAGTGGACTGGAATAGGACATTTTCAAGGTGATGCTTTAATAGCGAGGCAAAATACTGTCGAACACAACATGTTTCCCCCTATTACCCAAAGTTTGGCCAAATATCACACAGACCTCATGGTAAGCCTATCAACAGTACAGTACCACTATTCATGTCTATGCTCCAAAATGTACAGTATTTGCAATATGGTCTCTTGGGCCTTCTCCATTTCTCAACCCTGTTTGAAAGATCTGCTATTTCTCGTTCCCTTTGCAAAATTCCGCGCCTCAGTTTGCTCGCATGGGGAATCGAGGAGAGGGACCTATAATTTCTGCAAACTTATAGAGACAGCAGTCTTCAGCATCTTCTTTCTTTGTGACTGCCATATCTACAGTACAGTACATAGTTC